TTCCCCAAACTCCACCCTTTTCAGGCACTGACCCCAAATCTTCAGCAATTTCCCAACCTGGAGTTGGCAACCCTAGCTCCAAACCAAGAAAGTGGTCTGCACTCTATCAGTCAGTTTCTGTTCTGTAGTAGCAGAACAACATTCGAGTCTAGTAGCACCTTAGAAACCAACAAAATTTTCGGACTTCCGGTTTATGGCAACACGCAGGCAGACACATCTCCCGGTCGTCCCGGGGATGTAAACTGCACACCAGCATGTGGGAGGGGGTCCGACGGGTTGCGACCCCCCTGGAGTCTTGGTAAAAGGCTCCCAGCCAGGGGGCTTTTGAGGTGCAACCTCTTCGATGGCCGAATGCTGGAGAATTGAGGTGCCCCTTCGCCCTGAAGGTCCTGCTGCTGAGTGACCGCATGGTACGAGTGCTGCTGACTGGGACAAGTGTTAGAGATCGGGTGAAATAAATGATGACGAGTGAGGCTGAATGGCCAACAACGAACTGTGAGTTGGGTTGAAGCGAGCATGAAGATATAAAAAGAAGCTGCCCCCCCCCAAAGAGCGACGGGAAAGCGAGCGGGGGAGGGGTCCCTCCCAAATGCATAGACAGAACATGGACGGAAAGAGGGGGGAGCGGAAAAATAAGCAACTAAAACTGTTTTAAGGGACTTACCAGAGTGCAGAAAAGCGTTTGGGCGAATATCAGAGGCTTTAGCAACTTTTTTGGAAAATAAACAAATCCAAAAAGATGGCGAGGAAGAAACCGGAGAAAGAGAAGCTGTAAAACCGAAACTAGGGGGCAGTCCTCGAACGGATGAGGTCTCTGAGCTCTCAAAACTCTTGGCTGACTCCCTGCGCCCCCTGCTGGATGAGATCACTGGCATTAAACAATAACTGTCAATAATTGGTCAGAGTGTGGCAGCAGAGCAGATGCAACTGACTCAACCCTTAAAAGCAACAGAGCAAATGGGAGAGAAGGTGAAGGAAATGGACGTCACTACTAAAAAAGTTAAGAAAAAGGTGCAAAAGCTGGAAATGAAGCAAGCTACAGAAGAGTCAAAGCTCTTACAGCTACAAATGGATAAAGCAAATTTGGTTGTACGGTTTCAAGGGGTCCCGGAAATTAAAGGAGAGAATCTGAAGCAACGGTTGAGCGAAGCAATAGCCCCAATGACAGATTCAACAGCGGAATACCTTTGCAGCAAAATGGATGTGATCTACAGGTCCTATTCATCGTAAATCAAGAAAAATAATCTGCCTGGGGAAATAGTGGTCAGATTCTTGAAGAGACATTTGAGAAATGCTATTTTGAAAGCAACTTTGGGAACACCCTTGAAAATTGGGGGCAACAATATTAGAATTTTAAAATACATTCCATTTGATATAAGGCAGAAGAGAAAGAACTATAAAGAATTAACCCTTTTCTTACAAACAAAGGGCATCAGTTACAGGTGGTTAATCCCAGAAGGCGTCATTTTCAAGCTCAACAATAAAAAAGAAAAGATTGACTCTGTTTTTAAAGCACGTGAATTTCTGCGGACACAGCTTGGGGTTGGTCCCATCAGCGGTTGAGCAGGCATCGGCGGCGCGGGAAATCCCGGTGCAGGAGCAACTTGTTGCTGCGCGGCGTGTGCGTCAAGGAAATTAGCCATTCTAACGTCCATCATTCCTGGCAGACCTTCCATCACATCCTGGAATGCCCGCATTAAGTCTCTCACCGAGTCTTCCAGTTCTGCTAGTCGTTCCCCGGTAGTTTCCTCCGGGATGGGGTCCCGAGGTCGATAGTCCGGGGGTGGGTCATAGTCCTCTTCCGTTTGGCAGGCTCCGGTGCCCTCCTCATCTTCTGCGTGGCCTCGCGGCCCCGATGGCTCGAACATCCACTCCTCGAGGTCTTGCTTGGAACTCCCCTTCTCCGAGGTAGTCCCCGGCTCCGGGAACAATCCCTTGTCAAACAGACTCTCACGTAATCCGCTCCCCCGACGGGAGTACACCTCTCGGGTGCCCTGAGTGTTGTACATAGTCCAGTCATCCTGCTGTTGAGTCTTCCGCGGACCCCAGTGCGAAGGGGTCGGAGGCGGCCAAGACAGATGTGCAGGCAGGCGGGGAATCGTTCCCCCCACGGCACCCTCCACCGAGGCTGCAGTCGTGAACACCAAAGGAGCGGAGGTATGTGGGACCGATCCTGAGTCCCCCTCCGTGTTAAGTAGGTTTCCCTCAGTTCCGCTCATGATCTTGCCAGATTCGGAACGATAGGAGAAAGAGAGTTCTAACAATATGTTGGATCCCCAAGCATCGAGAATAAATCCACGTTTTCAAGAAAAGCAAAATTTATTTCAAAGCGTTGAAGACATACTCAAACACGTTCTTTGTTAGAACTGGGGATACACAGTTAGGTCAAGCATAATAAAGGAAATTCAAACAGATACAGATCCAATGAATAGCATTCCCGCTGGCGGGCTAATGAAACGGTTGCGCGCCCAGTCCATGGGAACCAGGCAGAACATCAGACAAAACACAGGTGCAGTACTCATGAGAAAAGCAATAGGCAAGCATTACAGCATCTTCTCCCCCACACAACCTCCAGCAGTTATCTTGTGCATTCCAACGCAGGAGCAGGATGATAGAAAACAAGCCGGGTGCAACAGGGAAAGGATATGTACACAGAGGTCACAGAAAACAGAATGGCAGCTTGCTGACATACTGCCCCCCTTAAAATACACTTACAACACACCTCCCGGGTCGGGCGGGAGATCTCCCGGGCTGGGCGGGAGACCTCCCGGTTTGTCCGGGAACCTCTTGTGGAAACTACGGATCAGGTAAGGGGCCCGAATATCCCCTTCTTCCACCCATTCGCGGTGCTGGGGACCGAAATCAACCCATTCGATAAGGTACCAGAGTTTACCACGTTTCAATTTACAATCAAGGATATCAGCGATCTCAAAATGTTCATCCCCTTCCAAAATGACAGGTGGAGGAGGAGTAACTGCTGGTCTCCAGGGAGACGGGCCAGGATCCTTCTTCAACAGGCTCATGTGAAAAACAGAATGCAGAGCACGTAAATTCTTAGGCAAAACAACATCAACCGCCACATCATTTATGACTTTACGCACTTTGAATGGACCTATGAACTTCCACCCCAATTTCCTGCTAGGCCGCAGCATCTTAATGTTCTTGGTCGAGACATACACAAGATCCCCAGGTTTCAGATCAAACCCCACCACCCTACCCTTGTCTGCCTGGGTCTTGTAAGCAGCCTTGGCTGCGTCAAGCGTTTGGCATAGCAGAGGCCATGCATTTTGCAAGGACATACACCATGTATCAGCATCCCCCACAGGACGTTGGCCCATCCCTTCCAGGAAGGGGAGGGGGGGGCTGTCGTAACCAGAGACAGCTTTATAAGGAGACATGCCCGTGGAGCTATGGACAGTATTGTTATAACAATATTCAGCAAGAGGCAACAATTCACACCAATCATTCTGTTGATAATTAGTAAAACAACGAAGATATTGCTCCAGGGTCTGATTAACTCGTTCTGTTTGTCCGTCAGTCTCAGGATGATACGCGCTGCTGAGCCCTTGTTCCACCCCTAAAATGGAAAGAAGTTCCCTCCAAAACTTAGAAACAAATTGGGTCCCCCTGTCAGAAATTAATTTAGCAGGTAATTGATGAATTTTCACCACGTGAGACATAAACGATTTCGCCAACCTCTGAGCTGTAGGCAAGGAAGGAAAAGGCACAAAATGAGCTTGCTTAGAAAATAAATCAACAACCACCCAAATAACAGTGTTCCCTTTGCTCGCAGGGAGGTCAGTAATAAAGTCCATGGACACCACTTCCCACGGTCTCGATGGGGTAGGGAGTGGCTGCAGAAGACCAGGAGGCTTGCCCACTCTGGGTTTAGTTAAGGCACAGGGTTTGCAGGATCGAACAAAAGTCAAGAGGTCTTTGCGCATCTGTGGCCACCAGAACTGTCTGCGGATGAGTTGCAGAGATTTAACAAAACTCCAATGCCCTGCCAGTTTCGAACCGTGAGCAGACTCCATCACCTCCCTCCTCATTGAAATAGGCACATACAGTTTGTCTCCAGAATAAATCAGACCTTCAGGGCTACGGACACAATCTGGCAACGTTTTCAGGGAGGCATCATCATCAGCAGTAAAAGCAGACATATATTTCTGGACCCAGGCCCCCCCCCCAGGGAAAAGGGAAGGCGAAGTTTCATCAGAGCGCGGAATCGATCGCGCTTGCGCACGGGTGACCACAGCCCCCCCCAGGTGGGAGGGGGAAAAAACAGAGTCCATGATGATTTCACGCTGACTGTCATGTTGTGGGAGGCGTGAGAGCGCGTCAGCCAGGGAATTAGCCGTCCCAGGGAAATGACGAAGAGTGAATCGAAACTTAGCAAAGAAGTCCGCCCAACGAAGTTGTTTAGCGTTGAGAGAACGGGGGGATTTCAGCATTTCCAGATTTTTATGGTCAGTCCAGACTTCAAATGGCAGTTGCGCCCCCTCCAACCACTGCCTCCAAGTGGAGAGAGCCAGCCGGATCGCTGACGCCTCCTTCTCCCAAATCCCCCAGTTTCGTTCAGCGTCAGAAAACTTTTTAGACACAAATGCGAGGGGGTGTAAACGACCATCTTCCCCTTCTTGCAAAATAGCGGCCCCCATTGCCACATCCGAGGCATCAGTTTGGACAATGAATTTTTTAGTTTCATCAGGGCGCGCCAGCACTGGCTCAGAGGTGAACATCAGTTTAAGTTTCTCAAAAGCCTCTGCGCAAGCAGGGGACCATTTAAGCGGGGCGCCTGGTTTCGTAGCATCAAACCCCTTCCCCTTGGTCTTTAGCAAATCAGTCAGAGGAAGGGCAATTTGAGCGAAATTCTGGATGAAATTTCTATAAAAATTGGCGAATCCGAGGAACATTTGCAATTGTTTGCGGGTCCTGGGGGGTTCCCAGTCAAGTACAGCCTGTATTTTAGCAGGGTCCATTTCCACCTTCCCCCCAGAGATGCGATAACCCAAAAAGTCAATGCATGTCTTGTGGAATTCACATTTTGACAGCTTTGCAAACAGGTGGTGTTCATAAAGTCGCTTAAGGACCTGGCGCACCAATTTAATATGCGACGGGAGGTCCTGAGAGTACAGCAACACGTCATCAAGGTAAAGGACCACTCCTTTGAACAAGAACTCATGTAGGACCTCATTGATTAGGTTCATGAAGACCCCCGGAGCCCCTTGAAGCCCGAAGGGCATAACGAGGTACTCAAACTGCCCCAAAGGGGTATTAAATGCAGTCTTACTTTCATCCCCCTCCCGAATGCGCACACGGAAATATGCATCTCGGAGGTCAAGTTTCGAGAAGATTTTGCCCTTGGTGGCCTCAGCTACCAAGTCCTTGATTAGCGGGAGGGGGTAGGCATTGGACAAAGAAACAGCGTTCAGACCCCTATAATCAGTGCACAATCTAAGCCCCCCGTCTTTCTTCTTTCGGAAAAGTACAGGCGCGGCGAAAGGGGAGGAAGCCGGGCGAATGAAACCGCGGGCTAGGTTTTTATCAATAAAGTTCCGCAGTTCAACTTTCTCAGCCGGCCCCATTGCATAGATTTTACCTTTAGGTAATTTACAGTCAGGCAAAAGTTCAATAGCACAGTCAGTAGAGCGATGGGGGGGCAATTCGTTAGCTTCATCTTCGCCAAACACTTTCGCCAAGTCTCTATACTCTCGAGGCAAAGAAGCTAACTCTTCCGGCTGCAAAGCGCCGCAGGGGAACTGTGCGGTCGGCTGGTCCCCCCACGAGTCCAACCAGCAGTGATCTACACATTTAGCCGACACGAATTTGACAACCCCTTCTTCCCACAAGATGTAAGGGTCATGGGTAAACAACCAGGGACTCCCCAGTACTAAGTCGAACTGTGATTTAGGGGTAACAATGAAGGATCTGGATTCCCAATGATCGCCAGCCCCCAACCGCAAAGCCATAGTCTCGTGTGTACAAGGTTCCATGGGTGCCCCATCCATTTGGGTAAAAATGATGGGAGACTTCAAGGGGACTATCCCCGCTTCCAGTGCCAATAACACTCTAGGGCTGATGAGATCCCTCCCACACCCAGAATCAATCAACGCTCTCACCCTAACGTGGGTCCCCAGGAGCGGATTCATTAACGAGACAGTCACGAAAAACAGGGAAGGGGTTTCTCTCACCACCTTGGGCGCAGAGCTAGAATGGCCGTGTCGTTTTGCGCCTCTCACAACAGGCCGTTGTCGTTTTCCGCCGTTTCAGCCGACTCGGTAGCAGACGGTTCGGTAGCAGACGGTTCGATTCCCTCCGGGCCTTGGGCCGCTTGCAGCGCTTTGGAGAAACGCGGTTTAGCCATCCCCTTCTTCCCCGTCAGTGGCGTCTTAGGGCTCGGAGTAGGCGGCTTGTCTTTTACCTGACGGCTGCCACAATCCACAGCGAAATGCCCCTTCTCCCCGCACTTCTAACAATATGTTGGATCCCCAAGCATCGAGAATAAATCCACGTTTTCAAGAAAAGCAAAATTTATTTCAAAGCGTTGAAGACATACTCAAACACGTTCTTTGTTAGAACTGGGGATACACAGTTAGGTCAAGCATAATAAAGGAAATTCAAACAGATACAGATCCAATGAATAGCATTCCCGCTGGCGGGCTAATGAAACGGTTGTGCGCCCAGTCCATGGGAACCAGGCAGAACATCAGACAAAACACAGGTGCAGTACTCATGAGAAAAGCAATAGGCAAGCATTACAGCCTCTTCTCCCCCACACAACCTCCAGCAGTTATCTTGTGCATTCCAACGCAGGAGCAGGATGATAGAAAACAAGCCGGGTGCAACAGGGAAAGGATATGTACACAGAGGTCACAGAACACAGAATGGCAGCTTGCTGACAATGCTAAACCAAGTCAACCACAGAAGACTTGGCTGCTCTGCAAAGGAAGGCAACGGCAAAGCACCTCTTCTCGTTTCTTGCCTGAAATGCCCCATGGATGGGGACACCATGAGTGAGTTATGACTTGATATCATAGTTTTAAAAGGTTACTAATAAAGGTTGGAGGTTGCCAATCTCCAGGTGGCACCTGGGGATCTCCCGCTATTACTATTGACCTCCAGCCAGCCAAGATCATTTTCCCTGGAGCTAATGGCTTCATTGGAAGGTGGATTCTACTTCATTATACCCTGCTGAGGTCCCTCCCCTTCCCAAATGCCACCCTCCCCAGTGTCAGGTAGCCCTGTCATTCATCTGGAATGTGGAGGGGTGCACCTCCTCCTCTTTCCCAGCTCATCCCTGTCCAGCTTTTGTGCGCTATCTCTATGCTTGACCTTGCTTTGGTCCCCAGCTGCAATTAACTCATCTGGGAAAGCTAACGGCTTTTACACTTTGGCGCTTACTTTGCTAGCTCCAGCCCATGCGCACAAATCATATTTATTGGCTTTGACTGGGGGGGGGGGTGTAGGGTATTCCTGACACACGCTGTATATATGAGCATTAGTACTGGACCCATCAAATAAACACTTATCTTCTTATGAAGCCTTGTGTGGTGTGACCTGGTTAATGACCCTGACACCCAGGCTCGACCCCTAAAATCTCCAAGTATTTCCCAACCCAAAGCTGGCAACCCTAATAAAGGGTCAGTTGGAGTCAGGATGCAGAGGTACAGTGCAAAATGTCATCCGCTTGCTTCGAGGAAGGAGACATGCATAGAAATGAGAAATGCAGAAGATTAGTTATCTGTAAAAATGTGAGGATCCTGTTTTGTGCAGAAACTTGCGGAGTTCTCTCAAAAGGAAAAAGAAGCCCGTTGTCTAGGGCCCTTTCTGCACTCTCCATTTAATCCATGTTCACTGCGCTGTTCTCCAAGCAATTATGCACCAAAATCAAATTCAACCTTCTTTTTAATCCAGTCCCCCCCATTCTGCACTAAAATTGAGTTCAACCTTCTTTTTATTCTGGGTTTTCCCCCCATTCTGCATTACATCACCTCCCTTCAGTGGTCAGCCCTCTTTCAGCCTGCTTATTGCCCTGGGTTATTTGGATGCTGTTTTGCTGTGTTGCCTCGAACACTGAGAAAATCCGGAGTGGCAGGCAAATGTGGAATGCTTCTGAGGAAGTGTTCAGCATTCTCAAGGCACATTTTGAGAGTGCAAATCTATGCACACTTACCTGGGGCTGAGCCCCACTGTATAAATTGGGACTAATTTCTGAGTAAACATGCATACAATCACACTGTGTATTTGCTCTCCTGCCTTAAATAAATATAACTACTTTGTTTAGCATATCTTGATAAATAAATTTAACTACTTTGTTTAGCACCTCTTGACAGAGCATCTCTTTGTTTCCTGGTCAGAAGACTGGTGTTACTCCCCTTTCTTCCGGTCTGAGATATTTCACTGTCCTGTGATTGGCTACAGCCGTTCAGCTCTTCCCTCCACCTCCCCTCAACTGCCTTGACAAGAGATCAGTTTCAACAACCAGAGGTGGGAGAGAGAGTGGAACTGGACTTGCTACAGCTGAAAACACATGAAGCTGCCTGATACTGAATTTCACCCTTGGTCGGTCAAGGTCCAAAGAAAAAGAAATGCAAGAAAGCAAAGTGGCTTTCTGATGAGGCTTTACAAATAGCAGAAGAAAGAAGGAAAGTGAAAGGCAAAGGCGAAAAGGAAAGATTTACCCAACTGAATGCAGATTTCCAGAGAACAGCAAGGAGAGATAAGGAGGCCTTCCTGAATGAACAGTGCAAAGTAATAGAGGAAAACAATAGAATGGGAAGGACTAGAGATCTCTTCAAGAAAATTGGAGAAATCAAGGGAGCGTTCCATGCAAAGCTGGCCATGATAAAGGACAAAAACGGTAGGGACCTAACAGAAGCAGAAGAGATTAGGAAAAGATGGCAAGAATACACAGAAGAACTATACAAGAAAGACCTCGATGTCCTTGACAACCACGACGGTATAATCACTGACCTCAAGCCAGACATCCTGGAATGTAAAGTTAAATGGGCCTTAAAAAGCATTACTAACAACAAAGCTAGTGGAGGTGATGGTATTCCAGCTGAGCTATTCAAAGTCTTAAAAGATGATGCTGTTAAAGTGCTGTACTCAATTTGCCAGCAAACTTGGAAAACGCAACAGTGGCCACAGGATTGGAAAAGGTCAGTATACATTCCAATCCCAAAGAAGGGCAATGCCAAGGAATGTTCAAACTATCGCACAATTGCACTCATATCACACGCTAGCAAGGTCATGCTCAAGATCCTACAAGCTAGGCTTCAACAGTACATTGATAGAGAACTGCCAGAAGTACAAGCTGGGTTTTGAAGAGGTAGAGGAACTAGAGATCGAATTGCCAACATTTGCTGGATTATGGAGAAAGCAAGAGAGTACCAGAAAAACATCTACTTCTCCTTCATTGACTATGCTAAAGCCTTTGACTGTGTGGATCACAACAAACTATGGCAGGTCCTTAAAGAGATGGGAGTACCAGACCACCTCACATGTCTCTTGAGAAACCTGTATAAGGGTCAAGAAGCGACAGTTAGAACCGGATATGGAACAACTGATTGGTTCAGCATAGGAAAAGGAGTACAACAAGGATGTATATTGTCACCTTGCTTATTTAATATATATGTAGAGTACATCATGCAAAATGCTGGCCTGGATGAATCACAAGCGGGAATTAAGATCGCTGGGGAAAAGATCAACAACCTCAGATATGCAGACAATACCACTCTAATGGCAGAAAGTGAAGAGGACCTCAAGAGCCTCTTGCTCAGAGTAAAAGAGCCAACTTCAGAGGACGGCGGAAGACAGGAAGGCCTGGCGGGATCTGGTCCATGAGGTCGTGAAGAGTCGGACTTGACTGTGCGACTGAACAACAACAACGGTCAAGGTCCATGTGGTCTCCTCAGTCTGGCAGCAACTGGTCTCAGGCAGAGGTCTTTCACATCACCTGCTACTTGATGCTTTTAATAGGAGTTGCTGGGGATTTAATCTAGAAAATTCTGCATGTCACACCAATACTCTTCCACTGATCTGAAAGTGCTTATCAAGTTCAAGTGTGTTTATTGTATGTGCCCAAAGACCATCACAACTAGGCAGATAAAATATACAAGTAAAACATGGACAAAGAACAGTAAAAGAACAAAGCTATAATGTTAAAAACATGAACAGTTCATTAGAACAGATTGGTACCTTTTTGGCAAAGGAGTCTCAGGTTGCTTTCAGACAGCTCTTTAGATTCGTGCGAGGCATGGGTGCCTCATGGATTTAAATGTAATGTCCAGACCAGTGTTCCCTCTAAGCTGAGTTAGCGTGAGCTAGATCACAGTTTTTTAGCCTCCAGCTCACCCATTTTTGTCTTCGCTCAGGAAGGGAGGGCTCCCGAGCAAACTGATTTATGCAGTAGCTAAATCGCTCGCTCACAACTTTAATGCCCGTAGCTCACAAAGCAGAATTTTTGCTCACAGGACTCCACAGCTTAGAGGGAGCATTGGTCCAGACATCAACATCTGGGAAATGTCTGTCTTCCGTTAGCATCCTGTTTTGCCGTGCTTTGGAACCATAATAAAATACTACTTTAAATCTGGAGTTTTGTGAGCTACAGGCATTAAAGTTGTGAGCGAGCGATTTAGCTACTGCATAAATCAGTTTGCTCGGGTGATAGTGGTATACAAATTCCCTTGGGCCCAGATTTCTATGGGGATCATTCCAATTGGCTCGTTATATGGCTGGCCATTGGTCCAGATCAACTATTGTTAAATCTCAGGGCTTCATCCTCCCTCGGAACTCCCTTTACGTCTTTGCTTGGCTTGAAGTCACCTGCATCAAGAAGGCATTTGCTAAGTATTCCAGTAAAGCAAAGTGAGAGAATCTGGGTTCCTAGAAAGCCTCCCTCCCCCCCAAACATCAGTGATTTCTTTCCATCTTTCCCCAACATGTACATGTGTGTACATGTATACACGCACTATCCTCACATTGTTTGCACGTGTTCTTGTATCCCTTTCCTAATTTTGCAAACGTTATGTTTTCTTATCGGGGGGGGGGGGGTGTGGTTCAGAGGGAATCTCAGTCCCAGGGCCGGGCTTTTGTCAGCTGGAGCAGAGCTTGGTTTTTCTCAGCTATTGCACATGAGAAGTTGGCAAAAGACACAGAAAATTTGCAATGAAAACTAACTTTCATATTAATTAATCTTTACACTTCTGTTTAATGCTCCACAGGGGGTTCTTGTACTGTGAGAAAAATGGCGGGGGGGGGGCATCACATTTAGTGGAATGTTAATGTATTACTGTAATGTATTAATGAGAAGCCCTTTGTCGTAACTAGTCATCACCACACTTTCGAAATCCACTAATTACTCATAGTTCAGATTTTTGCTGTGAACTCCTCGTTTCACTTAGTCCTCACTGGGGAAGCTTCAATTATCATAATTGTTGAGTGAGGTTGTTTTAAAAGTACAAAAAGAGAGGGGAGGGGGGAGAGAGAGAGAGAGAGAGAAGAAAAATGTTTATTTATTTATTTATTTATTTTATTCAATTTGCAAGTATCACCCACTTCTGTTTTCAATATTTTCTCCTCAATTAATATTAGTCATGTGGAAAGAAAGAAGTTGGCACCTATCACTCCCAAAATTAATTATTTACTAATGGATGGAACTGCAAAGTTGCCTGAATGAAGATGTTCGTGTCAAAGCCTTTCCCAAACTGAAAAGGAGGACAAAACCTTATTATGAGGGAGGAAAGTATTTATTTATTTACTTATTCAGATTTCTATCCCACCCTCCCTGCAACCGGGCTCAGGGCAGATCACAACAGATCATTAGACCGTTCGGCATCACAACAAGCACAATAGTAAATGGTGAATTAAAACATTAAAACAAGAAATTTAAAAACAGATTGCACCAGTTGTCGCACAGTCTCCAGTACTGGTGCTGCTGAACTCTAGGTTTGTTTAATTTGGGCCATGTGAAAGTGGTGTCTTCAGCAGGGCCCCTCCCCCCGAATTTTTTACTGGACGCCCCCTGCCTCAACCAAAGGCCTGGACAGCTCCATTTTACAGGCCCTGCTAAATGACAGATGGTTCCTGAGGGCCCCGATCTCACACAGGATCATGTTCCACCAGGTCAAAGGTCTGATCTGTTTATTGCTTACGGATTACAGAGGAGAAGATGGGATGGGTTGGAAGCCAATCAATCAGAAATTAATGGATTAAGACTGCTTGTAAATAGATACCTACCTGACCATGGCAAGTAATAATGAGTAGGCAAGGAAGCTTTTGTGCACTGAAAAATAGTGTTGCCCCATTTGCTTTTATTTCAGACTCCTGAGGACTATTTATTATCATATAACTAATTCTGAACTGGGTCATGAAAATCTATGGGCAGGGTGTAATTTCCCTAAAAAGCTAAAGGAAGCTCTAGGTTTGGGGAAAAAAACCTAAGTTTTATATGTGTGTGTGTGTGTGTGTGTGTCTATGGTGTGTATACACACACACACACATACATATACACATATTGGGGGATTTAAAACTTTCCAAAGTAATAGAAACAACACCTGTAGCTTTAACAAAAGAATGCAAAAGAATGCCCACTGAGGTTACATTCTGAGATGTCAGTGACCCTTTTTTTTTGGGGGGGGGGTGCTAGGCAACCACAAAAAATATTGCCAAGAGGTTGGACTGATGTCAGCTCAATGGCCATTTTTAATTCTCCTGCCAGAGTTGCCAATACCCCTTTTGGGGCGGGAGGTCCCCTGCCCCTAGCTACCATCGTCTGCTGTTGCTCCAAGCAAGGGTGTGGAGAAAATCTTAAAAACTCACCAGCATCATGAATGTGATGACATCACTTACCATAGAGTTTCAGGTGATTCCTAGAGCTACCACCACCACTTCCAGGCTGTAATCCATCTTGAACTACAATGAAAGGCAGGACATAAATGCTTTGATAAATAAGTAGATACAAAATTCCCGCACAAGGGACACCATCATGGCCATCCTGCCAGGCCCACAGCGCCCCTGCCTCCAACCCTCCCACTGGTTTCCAGGACTTAGCCTGGCAACCCTGTCTCTTGCTGCCACTCCGAGCAGTGGTAGGAAATGGCTGGGGCAGGAGCTTGGCAACTCTGGGAGGAGAACTCATTCTGCCCTCGCTGCAAAAGGGGTCAGGGCAGATTACAGACAACAGTTGAGCCATTCGGCCACACAATACAATAACAATAAATAAGCAGTTAAAACATTAAAACAGCATTTAAAACAGTGCATCAAAGCTGGTGCCATTGGACTCTAGTTCATTGAATCTGGGCCGTAAACAGATACTATCTTCAGGGGGAGGGCGATCTTCCTCACTGGACGCCCACCACCTCAACCAAAGGCCTGGTGGAACAGCTCTGTTTTACAGGCCCTATTGAATGATAAGAGGTCCTGCAGGGCCCTGATCTCGTGTGGAAACATTTTCCACCAGGCTGGGGCTAGGGCAGAAAAGGCTCTGGTCAAGGCTAAATGGACACCCCTTGGGCCAGGAACAACTAGCAGATCTTGGTGGGCCTTTTGTCTTTGTTACAGGCCTTCACTTCCCTACAGGGCCTCCCTCCTCTCTTGGCCCTTTTGTGGCGTTAGGCCAGAGGGAGCACCCTTTTCCTTGGTAACAATGGCAGCCGCCGCTTTTGCTCAGGCATCAAGCCGGAGGCTTCACCTGGTTGTTGTCAATGCTCCCTCTAAGCCGTGGAGTCTTGTGAGCAAAGATTCTACTTCATGAGCTACTGGCATTAAAGTTGTGAGCAAGCAATTTGGTTCCTGCATAAATGAGTTTGCTCTGGTGCCATCCTTCCTGAGCAAAGACAAAAATGTGTGAGCTGGAGGCTAAAAAACTGTGAGCTAGCTCACACTAACTCAGCTTAAAGGGAACACTGGTTGCTGTAGAGACTGCAGTTCCCAAAAGGCTTTGCGGGAGTCTGCCCGGCTGTTGAAATTGGTGCAAGTGGGCCCTGAGCTGCCCTTGGGCCGGTCGTGGAGAACCTGGACAGCGATGGCGCCGCGGATCTTACCGGCTGTCAAGTTCCTGGTGAAAGGAGGCTTGGTTGGAGGTGCCGTTTATGTAGTATATGAGCAGGGGCTCTTAAGTGGCAGCGACCAGGGGGTTGAAGCACTCCGGAAAGCCCAGGAGGCATTGCCCCCAGCTGTGGAGGAATGGACCAGATATTTCGGTTGGCAGCTTCCAGCAATTCCAAAAATGGAATTTTCTATTGCCAGTTCCTGGAACACAGGGGTTGAGACGGTCATCGGTGCTCTCTCTGTAGCCCCGACCAGGGCTTGCGAATACACACACAGCACGGCTGGAAATACCCAAAGGATCTTATCAAATGAAACCCTACCAAAGAGCCTTGGTTTTGCTTTTCTTCTTGCTGTCTCAGGGGGAATTAATGCCTGCAGGGTGGCCCTGGGGCTTGGAACTAGCAGATCTTGTTCAGCAGAGTGCATGGCTCTCCAGGGCACATAGAGAGAGAGGCGGTCCCTAAGGTATGTAGGTCCCAGACTGCACAAGGCTTATTGAGGACAGAGCCAACACAACAGCCACACAGTGATTGGCTGGGCCTCCCAGTGACAGCTTTTCTGAGGCTTGGCTGGGCCCACCTGTGGTGGCCACTGTGCCACCTGGTTAGCCTGATGGTGGCAGCTGCTGTGCAACTCAGCCAGACTTTTCCCAGTGCCAAGTTGCCAGGGAGAGGGAAGGAGGAGAAAGTGAGAATGAAGGGAAGATAGAGATAGGTTAGCTGGTGGGTGGAAATGAGAGAAAGAAGCAGGAAAAGAGGAGAGGCTATGGGGACTTTGGGAAACGCGTCTAGAACTCAGGCTGTAGAAAATTTCCCCATCTCCACAAATGCATACTGTTAACACCTCTTTTTTAGCTTCAGATCCTGGGCATAGCTTAAAGCATTGCATTTTAAGGCTCCCCGGGAATACTCAGAAGCATGGGGGGGGGGGAGGGAGAAAGAAGAGGTTGTCCAATCTAGGAACTTTTCTAAGCTAGGCCCAGATAATTTATCCATCCCCAAACTGAAAGGCTTTCTTTGCTTTATCCCTTACCCTTACACGTGCCTTCCTTTATTTTTCAACTTATGAGCCAAAAATAAGCCTTCTGGAACTTTCCAAATGAAGTGCGTTTAACTATGAGGAAAGGGTTGGTGAGATAAGGTCCTGAATTGCACAGCTTCTGTTCCCTGAGGCTCTGGGGCATTCCAAGGAATGTACTGCTGGATCTTAAAATGTAAGCCCTTGGAAATGTGCAGTAGGGCATGCCGAGTATCCTAAGGCACTTGGTGTTTACTTGTGGGGAGGTCACCTAAACTGGCTTATTAAGCAACCCTCTGGAGATGCTGTCCTCTGTCACAGTCACCCCCAGGTGCACCCATTAACCTCCTCCAGCACCTACCAGCCAAGAATACAGGTGGTGGTGGTGGAGGAGATGCCATTGGAGCCTGCTTAGCATTCCTTAAGGTGGACAGGTGTCAAAAAGAGTGGCATGGTGTTACATTCTGCCAGGGTGACATTGCCCATATTAAGGAGATGGCTGGACATGACTTTCTAAATCTCCTAGGTTAATCTGCACTGGGCAAGTTGGGGTGAAAGAGAATAAGATGGTTATAGCAAAGAGACATTGATCAATAAAGTTGTTCTGCATTTAACTCAATGCAGTTGTTCAGCTTGGGCTGCAGAGAGAACCTCCCCCAATCACCTTACATTCTACTCATTAATTGATACCTGGGCTATCCGGTTAGAAATATTAATTCTATGTGCAAGATCCTAACACACAAATTGTAGGGATGTCATCAACCTAGTTTAGAAGGACCTGTATATAAACAGATCAGTCCTCTCCAGGAATTTCTGGAAACTCTGCAATTCCTATAGAGGTGTGTTTTCACTTCTTGGTTGTTCGCAGAAATGACATCACATTATTGCAGGCAGCATGTTCCCCCCCCCCCCAATTTCCCACTAACAGGTAGGCCAACCTGTAGCAAAAGTCTGCTGCAGAGAGCAGGAGAGAGCACAACAGCTACTCCGTTCCCCTTCTGATGGGCTATTCCACACCAGGTAGCCAAAGGCTACTCAAGAGCCAATAGTGCTCTTGTGCCTTATTTAAAATTGGGAGTGGCCCACATCGGCATCTCAGCTTTATAGGCTGGGAACTACGTTCTTCATCTATGGGAATGAAAAGTGTGACAAGCGAGCATGTGCACATTATTTATTTGTTTAATTCATTTGCACCCTGTTTTTCTCCCCAATGGGGACCCAAAGCAGCTTACACCATTCCCCTTTCCTCCATTTTATTCTCACAACAACCCCGTGAGGTGGGTTAGGTTGAGAGTGTGTGGCTGGCCCAAGGTCTCCCAGCAAGCTTCCATGGGACGAGTGGGGATTCGAACCCAGGTCTCCCATATCCTAGTCCCACATTCTTAACTACTATACCACACTGGCTCTTACATTATATTACATTAAAATCCATCATGATCCTGTTTTGAACCTTCTGATAAGCTTCAGTGAACCTGTCAGGGTCTGTTATGCTCCAAAGTAGCCGTTAGGTTCTATTATGTCAATTATCATCTGTGTACATTGACAAACTGCTCTTTTCTCCCTCTCTTGCCTCTTCTTTTTGCCTTTTTGAATATTAGCATTCAAAAGAAAAGTAGGCTGGGGGCTGTATCGCTGAAGGAGCTGCTAATGCATCGTAAAGTATTTCACTTGGAGGCGACCAGTTCACATGGAGTCAGGGTCAGTGGTGACTATCAGCCAGTTAGCCTCTGGTGGATCCTGGGTGATGCCCGACATTGGCCAGGCCTTCTCTAGCGCAACTGGGCTCTGCTTCTGGCAGTATCTCGCATCTGCTGGGTAACAGACTTCTAGGCACCACATCATTTTTGCTGCCAGCTCAAAAGGGTCACTGCTTGGGCACATGCCAGTTAGAGAGCAAGCATACCATGTGTGGCAGGCCTTTCCTGCCTACTGAGGGGACCCATGCTGCCTCTTGTGATCTGGGCAAAATAGGTTTGTTTTGAGCTGGGAACCTTCCCCTCAATTACAAGTTTATCTTAGATCAAGATGGGTAGCCGTGTTTGTCTGTAGCAGTAAAAAAGAGCAGGAATCTATCCAGTAGCACCTTAAAGGCTGTGATCAGACTGCAGGGTTGGTGTGGTCTGGTCCCGGCTCTAAGTACTCCATTGCAGTTTGTAATGGAGAGTTTTAATCCTACACCCCACCCTGAACCAGCCTCACTGTGTGCTCACCCCATGGTCAACCGTTCAGATTATTAGGTGCACAGCAACTACAGAGCGGGTGGTCAGGTGGCTTCTTTTTTAAAATTTATCTTTTGCATATGCGCACAACCACTTATTCAAAGCACTACTCCATTTTGACAGCTGGAGGAGGCTGCCTCCCCCTCTGAAAAAAATCTTTTCAATTAAGAAGAAGAAGAAGAAGAACAGAAGAAGAGATTGGATTTATACCCCACTCTTCACTTGGAGTCTCAGAGCAGCTTACAACCTCCTTTCCCTTCCCCTCCCCACAACAGACACCCTGTGAGGTAGGTGGAGCTGAGTGTCAGAACCCACAGCCAACAACGTAGTACACACTTCTCAGGAAAGGTAATACTTTATTGAAGAGCTATAGATGTATTAACATAGGCACTGTTAAGAATGGCGGCTGCCCATTGGGCATAATAGGATATAGGGTATTCGTATGCACCCCCCCCCACTGCCCTGGCCAATTAGCCATACTCCCGCACATGGGAGAAGGAGCTCAGGCCATTAGCGCTGAAGCTGGGAACCAACCTCTCTCCCATGGTTCCACTGAAGGCAGACATCACACCACCTACGCAACTTAGAGATAAGCATTACAGCAGCTAAGAAGTACAGAAAGAATGCAGCAGCAATTAGTAGTCAACAGATCTCCCCAACCCCCATGGCAGCATAGCTGACACTGAGAGAGTTCTGACAGAAACTGCTCTTTTTCAAGAACAGCTGTACCAGAACTATGGCTTGCCCAAAGTAATCCAGCAGGTGCAAGTGGAGGAGTGGGGAATCAAACCCAGTTCTCCCAGATTAGAGTCTGCACACTTAACCAGGACACCAAACTGGCTCTTAACCACGACACCAAATTAACTCCTTCCCCACCCTGTGTGCTGCAAAGCTGTAGGCAGAGGAACCAGAAGACCAAACCTGCCCTCCCCCCCCCACTTCTCACCTCAGAGGACAGTTAAAAGCTTGCTGGTGTGCATGAAGATGTGGTTATGGGCACGTTGCTAACGGACTAAAAAAAAGGAGTAAAAACCAAACAGAGTGATCAGACTTCCCAACTGGGTTGAGCTCGCACCAGGGGAGTTCAGATATTTGGAAATGCGGGGTTAAAGCACTGATATCTGTAAACATCAGACTTTCCCAGGTGACAGATTACTCAGCTTCCAAAGCGGGGCAGAATGGGGTGATAATGACTGGGGCACGGAAGGCAGATGTTGCTGTCTCTAAATCCACAACAATATTGGTGCAAACTGTTCATGTGACCACAGCCGAAGACTAACATTTGTGTCAGGGCAGGAGCTTTTGTGAGTCACTGCTCACTTCATAAAAGGTAAAGGTAAAGGTTCCCTTGCTCGAAAGCCAGTCAAATCCGACTCTTGGGTTGTAGTGCTCATCTCCGTTTCAAAGCCGAAGCCACTGTCTGAAGACGTTTCCGTGGTCATGTGGCCGGCATGACTAAACACCAAGGCGCACGGAACGCTGTTACCTTCCCACTGAAGTGGTACCTATTTTCTTGCTTTCGAACTGCTAGGTTGGCAGGAGCTGCGACCAGAGACAGGAGCTCACTCCGTCATGCGGCAACTTGGGTCTTGAACTGCTGGACTACTGACCTTCCACAGCCTGCAGTTCAGCATCTTAACCACTTGAGCCACCGCAGCTCACTTCATACCTTGCCACAAATTTTGTTAGCCTTTCAGTTGCTCTTTGGGTTGCAAGGGTAAAGGCTTTGGGTCCACTGTTGTGAGGTAAAGTTTTGTGGTGAGCAAGAAGAACACTGAGATCACTGAGGCAGGAGTTGTGTGTAAATAACAAAGAAGACTTATTTATTTACAGGTTGGTTTTAAAAAAACAGCTCGGCAGCCCAGGTCTCCAGACAGCTGAAGGAGAACCCTGGTGGAGACCCCCAAATTTAGGCTAGTTATGGTTCCAGACTGTGGTCTAAATTTCATGCAAAGAGGTTTTCACTGACTAGTCCCTGGGTTGGGTCTTTTCACTCACTCTCACACACACACACACCAGTCTATCATTTCCAAAAAGTCAGACTAAATGGTACCACATCTGCTAAGCTCCCACACT